AAAATACATGTAATGTTATCTTTTGGGGTATTGTAAGTATATGTATAGATGAATGCAAATTACTTACTACTTCTAGAAGGTCACCATCACTTGTCCCTCCAAGAATCTCTAACATGAGAAATAATAGAAAAAGGCAAGGCTTGGATTGATAGATAATGACACAGGGTAATTAGATTGTTCAGAACCTCACTAGAACTATTATTTATAAATTTCTACCACCTTGCTTTTTGCCTAATCATTGAAAGGATTTGTCAACATAGATTTCCTCCTCAGATGATGATGATGACATGAAGTGCAGCCCACAATATATGCTGACAAGACAAGAACTTCTGAGACTGCCTTAAAGTATTCTGTGCGATGACTACATTTTTTCTAAACAGTGATTTAAACATGCAGAGAGAACCTACATGAAAGACACAGGTTTACCTAGTCTTAACTTTTATTAAATGCACGATTCCAGTAGTTTCATGACTCGGAATAGAAACATTTTGATGATGGAAGAGAAGCGGATAGCCTGGTCAGGAAAATGCTCCCTCTTCGCTCACCGCTGGTTACAGACCTGTCAAAATCAGTGCCAGTGGCTGCTTCCCACAGACCCCAGAGACCTGAGGATTTAATGCTGCCTGAGCTCGCATTAACTCCTAGAACAGGTATAGATGGACTCAGCCAAAAATCGCAGGAAGATGAGGGGAATCACTGCTTGCAAACCGGCTGGCTGCCCTCCTTAGCTCCCTGTGCAGGGGCACCTGCGTGGTGTCCTGGGAGGAAGGTCAGGATGCGGCACCTCCGCTCACACGTAGGGACCCAGGTGTCCGAGGGAGCCGCAGGACGGGCGGAGTGCCGGGTGGTGGGGCACGTCCCTCCTGTGCTCACCCTGTGTGGTGTTGCTGTGCTTTCCCTCCACAGCCGATCTGAGCCTGGTGAACGGAGAGGAGAGCTGCCTATACTTCGCTGGGAATTCTCTCGGGCTCCAGCCAAGAAAAGTTAAAGCTTACTTGGATGAAGAACTGGACAAGTGGGCTCGAACGTGAGTACACAGCAGGGGAGGCCATGAGCTTCATCACGCTTCAGATGAGCATTTCGCTTTATTTTGGGATCCGCCTTGAAAGCGCTTGAATAGAAGAATAGTGTGTTAAAACCACTACAGCTCAGGAGTAAAACATGTTCCCTGTTTCCCCAGCACTATTTAAATCTTCTTTAAGGGTATGAGCAGTAAAACAGGCAAAGGGAAACTTCCAGCTGGGATGACCCACACTGCGCGTGGTGGCTCTGCTGTGGCGCATCTGGAGGACCTGCACCGTTTTACCATGCCTATCCAATTTGCTATGTGTGTTTATACACAAGACGCAAACTCCTCTGGTTACTGCTGCTTGCTGGCGAACATGATTCGGTTTCAGGCCCTGTGATTGTCTAATCAGTATTTTTAACTGCGTGTGATTCACCCTGCGGGCCTTGCAAAGGGCAGTTCCCCTCGAAATAGCACCAAGCGCAGGTGGTGCTGATGCCGGTGCTGGCAGGTTTTTGGCTCCTCTTAAACCAGGTCTCTGCCTGACAAGTTCATTTTATTCAGAAAGAAGCACTCCTGCCTTCTCAAGAGCATCTCAGTGAGGAGCTGAGGGTGGATCGCAGGGAGCTCTGCTGAATAGAGCTGGTGTAGGAGACAGGAGGACAGAAGGACAGGCTGTCAGCATTGCCGGAAAAGGGGCATTGGCATCACAACAGATGGGAAACTTTTAGATATGTAGGGGGGGAAAAAAGCTTCTTTTATATATATACACATATACACATTATACTTTGTTTCTATGGGGAGTCTCTGCTTTGAGATGTCCAGCACCTGCCTGAGCAGCTCGAGCAGGGAGGAGCAAGTAAAAACCAGGGAGTGAAAGGTGGGAAAGGCAAATAACATCCAGATGAGTGAGTGAGATGGAAAAGAGATGAATGCCTTTATACGGTGCTGAATATGAGTGGAACAGATGTGATTTCATGGTGAGAGAGCAGAGGAAATATCGTGAGGCAGAAGAGGAAAAGCTAATTCTGCTAACTGGGCAGCCTTGTTTCAGTAGAAATGCTGTAGAAGGAGGCTTCACAACGTAAATGTGAAAACTCTGTAGCTGCTGTTTCACTTGTTAGTATATGAACATTGCGGGCTAGTAAAAATGGTTTAATGTTTCCTATTTATTACTTGCATTCTTACAAGTGAGAAGAAGATTGAGAATGAATGTGAACTTTGGGAAGCACTCGTTCCTTCTGGTTATTCGTTCAGCGCAATGCTGCAGTTTCTCCAGTCATTTGAAAAAATTGCAACCCTGCCCATTTCTGTATGATTATCCTACTTTATCAGGGAAACAGCTGAGCTCTTTCGAAAGGTAAAACTCAGATAGCATTCTTATCTGTCAGTGATGCACTGGGAGTGCAAACATATTTCAGCTCCTTCACTGTACCTTTTCATTGGTTTACTTCCATTCTTATGTTTGTCTTTGCAACAGTGAAAGATTTTTTTTTTTTTCCTCGATGATTATAAAAATCTGAAAGAAAGGGGTAGGCAGCATGTTTCTCCAGAAGATTAAAAGTACCTTCAGTAGCTGTATCTAATACAGCTGAACATGAAGAGGGGAAATACAGCTGAACATGATTCCAAGCCATAGGAAGAGAGGGAGCAAATCTAAAAAGTTGTTTGCCAAAAATACAGCTTGGCCCCAAAGACCTTACCCACAATAAATTAGAAAGTTTAATTAAAAAAAAAAAAGAAACCAAACACGAACTAAACACAACAACAACCCACAACAAAATCCTGCTAGTTGCAGATGCACCTAAGGCAACTGAGAAAGTCAGGGGGAGGTCAAGCTAAATTTGAACAGAGCAAATTGTACTTGAAGAAGCTGATGGGTGGGATCAGGTGCTGAGGGATGCAAAAGAATAGCTGGTTGGAGGTGCACAAATGAATGTTTTCATTCCAGTCACCAAGGATAACTTAGTGAAGTCCAGTCTAAGGTAGTAGGTGTTACCAGCTGAAGCCTGTTCAATAGCTTGTGTGTTGGCCGCATGGAATTTAGTGCCTGTGGCCTAGATAAATAAGTAGCGAGAATCTAAAAAATGTCATGCAAATTGGGTACATCCTTCAAGTCAGCAATGATATAGATTCTGGCTCTCTTATAAATTGTTTTATCGCATTTTCTGTTTGTTGTGTCTTGGGACTCATCTCAAATAGCTACTACACTTGTCTATTGAAATGGTTTTCACTGCTTATAGCTGGTGGCAAGAGTGAAAAGGAAGCTGTTGTCAAGGGCAGAGAAGCTCATAGCTTTAGCTCTGCTTGGTGATGGCAACTCAGATTAAGTTCTGGAGAGAAAGAAGCCTTTTCATGCATCTTTTTCATGTTGTGTTCCCTCTTAGAGTGTCACTGTCCTGTTTTTCTCCCCCCTGCCTTTAAAAGGTGGGTTATAGCTTTCTTCTCTTACATCTGCCTCCCACGTACCTGTTCTGGTTTTGTATTCTTTCTTTCCACACTCCTCAGTCCTCTTTCTTATGTTAATGTATAAAGACTACAAATTTAAGCCACTGGCATTCTTGGTATGGATTAAAAAAGAGCCTTTGAGACTTCATCTTTCTTTCTGTTTTGATTTCATCTAAATCCAAGGTTTATTGAAAGAGGGGAAAAAAGGGATGAAGAGTCATCTCTCCCGTGCTTAGCCTAGAGCAGCCAATAATCGAGTTTTTTGAAATCTAAAAGACCAAGATTCAAGTGACTTGTTCGGTTGGGTAAAGGCCAATAGGTGCTTTGCAGTGTCTTGTTTTCCCTTTCCCCCGCCACAACTGTTTAAGCAATTAATGAATCGTTATTGCATGTTAACATACTTGCTGCAGCGGGCAATGTCTCTCACGTCCGAGTAACTCATTAAAGTGGAACTATTAAAACAGAAGGGAGTCTGCCGTAGCCAGTTGTTACGCTCTTGCGAAGGGCTGGTAGGGTGATTGGGGAGTGGAGAACCTGCTGAATGGAAGTCTTGAGGGTTAGAGTTGTTTAGTGGAGCAAAATGAAGACTGAAAGGAAAAATGATTGTTAATGATAGTTCTTTGCAAATGTATCAAGGGGTAAACATAGGGGGGGAAAAAAGGAGCCACTTATATGAAATAACATGCTGGCACGGTAAATATAAATTAGGAATTAATACATTTAGGCCAGAAACTGAATATGTATATATACTAACTAGGCATTGAAGTAGTCTGGCAATAGGCTTCTGACATGAGTACAGCAGACAAAAAAAGCCAAGTCTGTGGAGGGCTCTATAATATAGCACATGCAGTAGCAAAGGACTGCTTTCAGTGAGTCTAAAGGTGCCTTTGGTTCTCTGTGCTGAACCAATCCCGCAAGATATAACAACCCTGCAAGCAGGAGTGCAGCTTGGTGGGGTTTGGTCGTCTTCTGTTTGACAAACTTCTCCTGCCATTTAGTAGGAGTCATCTGTGCGTTGTACCTTTCAGCCGGTTGTATGTTAGGGCTGTAAATGCCTGGTTTAATGCCCTGCATTTTTTAGTTTTACCTTCACTCTACCGCTCCATATCGTTCTTTTTCTTTGGATATGTCTTCCTTTCTTTTGGTTATTCCTTGCTTGAAAACATCATCAAACTTATGAGTCCGTATTGGCTCATTAAATACCTTGCATTTTTGGCAAAGAAGCAAGAAAGAAATTTCCACTTGAACGAGATTTGGGTGAGCACAGAAGATTCCTGAAGCTGGCAATTAATTTAAATCCCTTTTGTTACCTCACCTGAAACCCTGGGATCGTATCAGAAAATGTGTTTCTAGCTCCCCGAGCAAGCTTTAAATCAACCAGACCTCAGCGAATAAAATGTGACGTTGTGGTTTCTTGCAAATTGAAAATGAAATGGTAAACGATTAAAAATTAATTTGCACAATAAGGAACTCAGTTTAAAAAATAATTCTGTTTGTATGATGCTTTATGATTTGATGGGCCACGTTTTGTATTCATTAATTTGGGTGCCTTGATTTAAATATCTCTTTTGCTACCAGGGTGCAGAGGAAACAAAATGACACGTAGGTTACCCATGTCTGAGGAGAATGCCAGAAGCACTGCAGTTGTGTCCTTAAAGATTATTACCCCCAGTGCCTACCAGAGCTGAGAGGGGTGGCATAATGTACAGAGATATAAATTCTCTGAGGCAGAGCATAGAATTTTACAACCTAAGTGTAATAGGATGTATTGTGCCATCAGCAAAGGCTACAGAGTTTCATGTGATTAAAATAAAAAAAGGATCCAAGAATATGCCTTTAACTACCATTTTAGCTGCAATAATTTTTGCCTCTTGGCATTTATATCGGCCATCAAGAAGGAAGAAAGTTGTAAGCTGTGCCGTAATAATAATAATAATAATATGAATAATAATTACTGCTGGCTCTCCCCTCTTTCAATGTACTTAAATTTCCACGTTTTCTCCTCAAAATAAAATATTCTCATGCCCAAAATCTCATATCTGTTTTCATGATAACTTAGAAATTTATTCTGAGATTTTGTTAGTCCTGTGTGCCAGTAGAGAGAGCTTTCATCAGTAAATTCCCATTAGAAGGACACTAATGGCTATAAAATCAGAGAAAGCTAATGAAAGAGAGTCCCAAAGGTAGTTAGGGTTTCTTTTTTCCCATCTTACTATGTTCGCCATCCTCTTTCAGAAATACAGATCCCCTCGGGCTGAGAGCCACCGAAAATCTTTGGGTTTTTATTTTAACAATCTGTATTATCTCAAAGTCCCTTGATCACTATATTACAGTTAAGAATAAGAAGGGAAATTAGCAATAAATGTCTTGCTGTTTGTGAAAGACATACCACTGTCTTCAGGGGAAAGCAGCTGCCTTATGGTCTGATAGAAGGGAGGAACTTTTAGCACGAATCCTGCCCCTTACTGCATTTTCTCCCCTACCCACCTACTGCCTTTATTCGCCTCTATGAAACGTTCTTGTAAATGAGTGCTATTTCACGCTGCCCGCTTTCTGCTATCAAGGTCTCATCAGAGAGCAATTCTAAACTGGAGGAAAGCGGTCGGCTAGTGTACCGCGACCTTATCCAAAAGAGGCATGGGGGTCCTCCTTGTTGTCTGTGTGGGGTTCGACTTGTTGAACGTCGGGCGGTTATTTTATCTGTAAGAGAGATTCAGTTGTACCTGCATCCTCCTTCAGCTGTTGACCTCAACTAGTCCGAAAGCAAATGGTGTCTTTGCAAGGATAAGAAGCATGAAATGGTTAATAAAAATTGTGCTTTTTGTAGGAGTTCTTTACTTTAGGACTGTGGTTCTCTTGGAAATATCCCTAGGAGGTATGAATTAGACCCAAGTCAATCAGAAAGGGTCTGACTGTAAAACATCCAGGTAATTTGTGTGGGAGACAGAACAAAATTCTACCTGAGAAGGGAAAGTAGGAGAGGAATAGGGAAAACCAATCTTTTAAATAGCCTTAAGCATGGGGGGACTACCTGGTGTAGTGTCTCATATGCCCTCCTTTCTCATGTCTTAATCTGCCAGACATCTTCTCAAGATTTTGAGTGAACATTGTGTGCCTTTTCTTCTTTAAAAAGTTTATTACTTTTCTTTCTTTCTGTCATCACAGCTTTTGGGGCTTTTTATTTTTTGCTCTCTACCAAGTTTCCTACTGGTTTTGTCCCTGTTTTGAAACAACTTTATACTTGGCTTGCCTCAGTTGCATGCAGCCTGCCATTTCCAACTCTACAAGTACCCCGTGGTGCTCAGCAAATATGAAAATCATCCAGTGTGAGATGGAAGCCCAGAGCAATGTTCCTCTGGATTAGCACCATTATTACTTTTCTCAATCTGCCTTAATTTGCATTTAAATCTGTACGCTACATCCTGCATGTTCAAGAAACTTTACAACTTTTTATTTATATATGCATGGTGGCTACCTTAGAAGTTTACTTCTCTGTCACATTTGAAGCAAAAAATTAGTTCAGAGCACTTAATCCAAAACTGAATATACATACCTGTCGCTCCAAAGTAGTGATGCATTCGGGTTTAAGGTGCCCGTATGATCCACTGTAGACAGGAACAGTTTGCAAAATAGAGTTTTTAAATGCCTTCTGTCAAACCAAAAAGCCTTATGCACACTTAGATCTAGAACAATTTGTCAGGGAGAAGAGAAGCAATAAAAATTAGCAAGCACCTCTGTTTGGGCAGGTGCTTCCCTGCATATACGTTAAGTACCTGCTGGTTTATGGAGAAGGATGAGTTCAGACAGGAGATTCAGGAAGATAGAAATTGTTTCTGACAAGAAATATTTCTGTCTGGGAGCTAGGCAGTATTCAAGTCTCCCATCCTCTGCACCATACAACGTTCAGCTAGAAATGCCGGCAGAGTAACTCTGCGATCTCTGCTTTCTGTGCAGTTTGCGTGAGCCGGGCTTAGCGGGTGCCATCGCCCACCGGGCACCGCCGTGCCCGCTCCCGGAGCCTTCCTGCGCCCATGCAGCCGCTTCCAGAGGGCTTGCGAAAAAGCTACCGGTTCTAATTTTGAGGGATTTCTGGAGGAATTTTGGGGGCCAAAATGAATAGCTTTCAAGCAATTGAAAGCCTGACAGATACCAATGAATTGCCTTTGCTACAAGCTTTAATGGTGTGATAAAAGTGCCGTGCTCAGCTTAGGAGAGTCTCCTCCTCCTCCTCCTCCTCCTCCCTCCTCCAAATGTGGGATCTCCAAATCGGGTAAGTTTCTTACGCATGATCCAAAGGGAACAGCACATGTTTTCATCGTTTGCCTCTTCCTTTTCAGAGGTGTTCACGGCCATTTCAATGGTCAGCGCCCGTGGGCTTTGGCAGACGAGTGCATCCTGGACCTGATGGCTAAGGTGGTTGGTAGGTGTGAACTGCAGGGAAAATCTTTCTCTAGAAATGGAAAAAAAATTTTTTTTTCTTTCAAGATTGAAGGTCCTGAAACTCTGTAACCAGAATCTAGTTCCTTGCATTCTTTTGTTTTAAAGTAGTTTTTCTGACTGCTTTGTGCATGGACTAACACTTTCTTTTAAGGCTGCAAGTGACCTAAGAGATGAATGTATGCAATAATATATGAGCATATGCATATCATGAAACTAATTGCAGTGAAGGTTTTCTCGGAGCATCATAAACCACTTGGTCTAAGTCCTGAGAAGCCCTTTTAAAGGGCACTTGGCATTACAGATTCTCAGTCTCTCTCCTAGAAGCAAACCAATGAACTTTCCCCTTTGAAAAATTATTTCTATCTAGACATTTTCTGCTTTCCCTCCTTTCCCCGCCACCTAATCCAGCCTCATATTTGAGAACTGCTTATGTCAATGAAGCAGATAATTGGGGCAGGACCTGCTTTTTGTAAGTTCCCATTACCCTGCTGTACCCCTTGAGGAGTCTGCCGTGCTGCAGGACCTTGGCAGTAAATGCATCTGGTTATCCTAGAGATTGAGAAGGAGCCCTGAAGACTTCTCCTGGTGAGTTTGCCAGCCATGAAAGCAGTCGTCTGAGTCTGAACGCAAATTTCGTGTGTCGCCTCTTAGTCTAACCTGTGTGTAGTTGCTGAAATAATCTTCACTGGGATTTCCTTCAGAGCTGTTGCTGTCAGAAGGGGGAAGAGAAATGATGTTGTCAGGGTCCCTCCCAGACCCTTTTTCTCCCCAACCCCTACAGCCGTTGTCAGGGCTGAGTTAGTAGAGTTTAGTGAGATTTAGGCAGTAGTTCAATTTAGCCATTGAAGGCAACTGTCAATGCTGACTGCCTGAACGGAATTATCCTGTGTTCATTTGTGCCTTCACTAAGGAGAAATATTACAGTTAAGTTGACCTACTGTAAGCTAGATATTGTCTCATAATATTTCCTCCAAAAATAGACAAGTGTTCAGTGAGAAAGCTATGTTTTTTGTCCTTCAAGAGAAGCAAGCGGGGTCTGAACAACTGGAAACAGAGACATTAAGGAATGTTTCATGGCAGGTTTATTTACATATTTATAAACAAACTCACTTCTTAATGAAGTTTTCAAATAGCTAAAATACTGGACATTATTATTGGAGCAGAGCAAATATAGGAAAATATTGTTATAGTTGGTCTATCCATGATGTAAGCACTAAGACAACATAAACACCAGTGTGGTTATGCTGGGCATCATTGGGCGAAGCAGAATGATCCCGTCTGCAGAACGAAATAAGAACCAAAATGCAGATCGGTGGTTCTGATTTTGGAAGTTGCTACCATAGTACGTAGTATTGCTTAGGAGGTTAAGAAATTACTTTTCTTGTTTTCATTACATTCAAGGGCAAGCTTAGTATATTTGTCTATGAACTACCGTAGAACATAAAAACGTAAGATTGTAAAGGGGTGTTGAAATGCTGAATGCAGCTGATTTAGGGATTTCTCTAGTCTGATCTCTCCTGGCAAGTGGATGTTCTCATTCTGGTGGGGTATAACTAGGGAGCTGTGGGCAGGTGGTGAAATGTGACCTGTCACACAAGTGTCCCCATGAGGGGACACAGTAAGGGCTTTTAAACCGGAAATTTTGAACTTAACTGGAGGGTGGAGAATTTATCTTACGTCTTAGGAGAGTGGGAGAGTACTCGCACTACCTACTTGCAGGCACTTGAATTAGTAAAGTAACAAGGTAGACCATCGATGCTCTTCACGTAACCAGGAGAGAGCGCCAAGATCCCCCAAAGGGCAGCTTGGAGCACCTAAATTATCATCCTTCTGTGCGTCACCTTCTGTGGAAGTTCGCCACTGCTCTGTTTGCAAAACGTGGGCCCCCGTGAGCTCCCCGCAGGGTGTCGGGGTAGGCTGAGCGCTGACCTCCTGCCAGCGCCGGCATCAGCTCGGCCCCAGCTTTGGGTTCGGAGTCACTGCAGAGAGTCAGGCTGGGAGGTTTTTTTTTCCCCTTAACCATCTGTCTTGCAGAGGCTGCCAGCACAGTGTGCGTTATAATATTTGTTTAACTAAAAGTACTCTGGGTGTAAGGAGAGGGAAAGGAGAGCTTTGCTTAAACTTAATCTACTTTCTTATCCGTCTCTATTTTTCTTTTGGTTTGCAATTTCTATATGACACTGGTGTTTTTTTAATCATAGTGGCCAGGCTACACTGAATTTTTTACAACTTTGTTCATTTTAAAATATATTTTAAAGTTTTCTATTAAAAAATTATGATGACGGAGGTCACCCTACCATTTACCTACTTTTGTTTTTAAAATTCTTTGTTGGGAGGGGTTTCATAGTCCTGTCCTCCTCAGCAGTAAAGGGCATGTCAACATTATCAGTTTAGTTTTTATTTTCTGGATTTTTTTGGACTTTGTTTAATTGAATCGTAAAATGTGGTTTGGGTAAAAAATTATGATGACGGAGGTCACCCTACCATTTACCTACTTTTGTTTTTAAAATTCTTTGTTGGGAGGGGTTTCATAGTCCTGTCCTCCTCAGCAGTAAAGGGCATGTCAACATTATCAGTTTAGTTTTTATTTTCTGGATTTTTTTGGACTTTGTTTAATTGAATCGTAAAATTGGTTTGGGGTCAAATCTGACCCCCAGTTCCACAAGCCAGCAGGATTTTATTTATCCTCATAGCTTTTTTCAAGTCCTAGGTGAGTGATTCTTACAAAGAAAATATATTGATTTTCCCCAAACAATGGGTGCATTGTAATAAAATCTGATTTTTAAAATTATAGGTAATAGTGAACAAAGAGAATAAATGCAGGAGAAATGGTATGTTAAAATACTCTCTTCCAATGTGGTATTTACAGTTAAGTACTGTTTTCCAGCAAGGTGTAATGTGTACGGGTTGAGTGAATTCTGAATTTCCCTTTTTAGTGAATTTAATGTAAGAACATAAACAGAATTTTACCCTGTTTTTTATTCAATATTTACCATGTTATGGAGGAGGAAGAATTGTCATTTCTCACTTTAAGCAGTAGCAGCAAGTAGAAGTTATTCGGTGAGATTTATTCAGGAATGGACTAAAGACTGTAAAATATCTTTGTCCGTTTAATGGTTTATAGTGCTATAACATCTTGCTTATTAAACGCAGTCACATTTTCTTGTTCAATGAAAGTTACAGTAGTAAATACATGGTGAGATGCAGAGTCAAGGTCAGTGGAGGCCAAAGCTTTTTTGCGATGCTCACACCGAGTGGCAGAACACAGTGACGGTAATCTCGACTTCTCCTACCAGACTTTATTAAAACATTACAACCTTGGCGGGATCACCTTCTGATGGAACAAGATTAACTGTATGGCTGCTGCTGTACAGCGTGCTCAGGCAGGTCTCTGTTGAGGGAGGACTGAACGCTGGGCAGATTTGTAGTGACTTTGAGTGATAAGGATTATTTGAAATAACCAAACTATTTCCAGAATTGGGGCCTTTAGCCTTTTTTCAATCATTTTACAAAATGCTTTTTACTTACTCTGGTGAGGATCAGGCTCCCACTGCAGTCAGAGAGGAGAAGGATGGCAGTGTCTGCCTAACGCAATCATAATTGTCTCTCAAGTTGTACTTTGCAAATGCTGCTTCCTTTTATTAAAGAGGAGATTTATCAAGCAGAACATACAGGTTTTAGCCTGTCTTGGAGATATGGTATAAAGTTAGGAAATAAAGAAAGCAAACATAATTTTGTCTCCTGTGTGCTGGGTCTTTGAATATTGTAATAGGTTAATTGGATCATAGAAAGGTTGTTTTCCGAAACGCAGTACAGGTTATAAAGGATAACAGTTTTCCAATGACACGGATGAGGTTTGTTTTGTGGGCATGAAATTCAATAATGGAAAGCTTTTAATAAATATATAATTTACGGAAGACCAAGACTTACATGACAAATGTAGTGTCATATTTAATTTGGGATGCTAGCATGCAGCTAAAAGTGATCTACAGCTTAACCATTTGTTCTATACAGAAACGGTACAGCAGGCAGAGGACTGTTCATGCAGAATTTGCTGTGAGAGCCACAGATTTCATGGAAGAGGCAGAGGGAGAAATAAGAACAGTACCGTTTCTTGATGCTATCCCTTTTTTCGGCCTCAAGAGTTCCATAGAAATATTAAGACTGCAAATAATACTGTTTTGAGCTGCAGTCACTCTCTCTCGCTGTCTTCTGTATCTGCAACAGAACAGCCACAAGGTGACCTCTTCCAGCAGCATGGAGCCTGCAGATGCAATGCTATCAGAGGGAAGAAAAGAAAGCAA